CCGATCTCTTCCTGTTGGCAAAAAAGAAGAACGAGAGATTTAGAGAGGAACAATTTTTATGTTTCATTTGATGTTTCTATTATCCGAGTTATCGTTGTTAAAAGCGAGTTAGAGTTTGTGAATCATTTGAAATAACTTTTATATATAAAGATTTAATTGAATCTATATTTCTCATTTTTAAATATTTATGTAGTTTAAAAAGGAACATTTTTATTTCAATTTTAAATTTTATAATAATTATTTATATTTATATATATTTATCGATGTCTCTGATGAACAATATTGAAATAAGGACGTAAGAAAATATGAGAGATGTTACAGAAGAAATAATAATTATAGTAATTATTTCTTATGTTTCTTTTTAAACTTTCTATCGCGGAGAGAAAATTAAACCGCGGAACAACGATATTTAAACGAAGGGGAAACGTGTAATACTACGGAGCAAGAGTTCGATGGGATCGACATTACGATTCATCCCAAAGCTCGTCTCGCGCGAGTTATATTACCGCAACCGTTCCAGGCCATCTGACGCGTCTCCCAAGTTAATAGAACAACCGCCTCGTAACGACACCGCCGCGTTAAAACTGAAATGTCAGTTCAGGAACGAAGTCACAATGGAATACCAGATTGCGCGAGCAAACATCGGGGAAATATTTATAATATTCGTGGGGAGAAATGTTACTTTTCACTGGCGATCGATCTTGACGCGAGAAATCGAACTGGAACGAGTGGATGGCATGTCGAAATCGTATAAAATGGTCCATAACGAACTGGTTACGACTCTGACAGAGACGATACGCGTGGTCGTTGTTCCTAACGCTCCATCTCGAAACGAAAAATCAAATAGTCTTGGCTTACGACTTGGCCGTGGAGAAAAAGCGATGCCTCTAATTTATGGGCCGATCTTCACCCGGTGGACAAGGGTCAATTAACCTCGATCACCTACAGGTTTAGAAACCTGTTCGGTTCGTACGACACTTGTTGTCGAGTTTTCTACTGTTCCAGTTGGTCCGCTCCCCCAAGTATTTGGCTCTTGACATAATAGAAGAGAATTGGAATCGTTAAAAAGATTGTATAAGAGATAATAAAGAACTTGTCCGATCGATGATGATTTAGTGTCTGGCCAACGTTGTAACAGGATGTCTTTATCGCGCCTCCAACACGTGGAAGCATGAAATTCAAGGTGAAATTGGTATTATCGTGATTTTAATACGACGTCCTTCTGTAAAGGATATTTCGTCAAAAAGTTTCGATGTTTGGATTTGAAATAACATTATCAAGAGTTGCTTAAAATTCTGGCGCGAAAGTTATATTCTCCTAATAATTGAACATTTTAATAGAACTTTCTCCGCTGTTCTCCACACTTTGTCAAAACTCTTTAATTTTCTCCCAATGGGAATGAGGCTAAACTTCCATCCATCAAAAACTTTCGAACACCGTTAAAGAGCAACGTAATATTCCAACGAAACGAGAGATAAAAATGGGAGAAAAAAAGAAAAAATAAATCTTCCTTTGTCTTCAAATTCATCAATCATTAAACCCAATCAATTTTATTCCCTACAACTAACTAGTTTTCCTTTCGATCGCGTGGAAAATTTTCAATTATTCCATCCAATTCGAATTCGCACTTAATACGGATACGTAAGGATCGATTCGACCGAATCGATTCATGGATCGCATCGAGGGATCGCATATCACCTTCGATGTCTTCGGACGCCATCTATCAAACGGACTATGGCGCGCGTAATGAAAAGCTTGATTAAACTTAGTCGCGGCTAGGTGATCCCGTGGCCAAGATACCAGCACGTTGATACCAGCGCGTCTATCATTAATCAAACGGGCGAATATAATATTCGTGCACGCGTTCCTTTTAAAGAGAGATCCTTTTTTTAACGCGCCGGAGGAGGATCTATCAAACTGAAAAATTGCCCCGCGCCTTCCAACACGCGAGTTCTTTTTCCATCCGCACAAAGGATCCCCGTATTTATTTCGTTCGGAACGCTTCTTTTTAATTGCATTTCCTCCCGCGAGACGAAATTGGTCTTATCCTTAATACCAATTGCAAATTCAATTTGCAATGAGCTTACGATCGACAGATCACGGTCGGATACGCGGTCGCGGGAACGATATCGATTGCGATTCGAGGTGGGGATCGATGGATCTCAGTCGTGATATCCGATAGTAAGTAAATTTCGTTCGTTTCACGTTTAAATCCATTCGATCGACGGAATTTAATTAACATCCTAAGTTAATTCAAATATCTTCTTCTTGGTGAGGATATACTTAATTGCAAATAATGTTCGACAGATCCATAATTTCATGGAGAAAATAATAAAAGTTTAAAAAATATATTAAAATTATTAAAATATTGGAAAAATTGAAGTCTTCTTTTCGATTCATCTCGATATTTCAATCCTGGAAATACTATGTTTGAAATGCAAGCCAGAGCAAAAGAATAATAATGATAATTAAAAATTACCCTTTTTTTAACAAAAAATTCCTTTAAAGAGAAAAGTTCAACGTTTCTAACGATGGTTCATTCGTCGAGCGAAAGTCACTATCCTCAAAGTTACAGACGCTCAAAGTTTCTCCAACTTTAATATACTTTTCGACAATTTCTCCTGTTCAAAGATATTTTTAATCGCGAACAACTATAAAACAACTTATTTCTTATTTCGATTGAAAATTCGCTGAAGATCCAGCGATGGAAAAATCGCAAATTGATCGTTTAATAACTTTCGCAATAAAATCCGTCGAATTTTAACGACGTTCCGTCGCAATCTCGGAGGTTCGATCGTCAACAAGCGGGAATTAAACGGTTGCAGTCAGCGATTCCATCTAGGGGGTTAGAATTAGCGGTATGGCGGGATCGGTTTAAACGGTAGAAAGATAGATACATCGGATACGTACAGATTAGTCACCGATAAGAATCCGATGGACAACGCCGTGATAGTTATATTCTCCGTTATATCCCACGTTAAGTCATTCGCTGGCTTCAGGCGCACAATGCAACACCCGTGTCAGGACAATGGGAAGCTCGTGCCCGATGATTAATCGCCAGGCTGGTTATAATAACGCGAAACCGCAGCCAGACAAGTAACTAGGGTTTTATTGCGATGGGATCGAATACCGAGACTTCATCGCGATGGAACGAGAGATGTTCATTGGCCGGTGGTTAATTAAAATGCATTGTTAAATTTGATAGGCCTTTTTAGAAACTTTTATCACATTTAGCAATAATTCATAGAACATTAGTTGTAAATCAAATTGAGTTATGTTCCTGATTGACTTGCAAAAACACTGTTTCGAAGCTTCCAACATCCCGTCGCGATTATTTCTTGATTGTTGTTTCACACACGATTCGTAAATTCCCTTTATTATGAATGAATTCCTCTTCGTATGTCACTCATCGATTGCGCGTGTTTTTTCAAAAGAATTGACGAGGCATCGTGTTAAAAAAAAAAAAAGATTCGACAATTTCTTGTTCCGTAATCACGTTGGACAAAAGAAAATTCCACGGATGTTTCTTTAATCAGTTCGTTATCCGTCCAATCTCGGGCACGGAAGAAAACAGCTCGCTTTAAAGCACGCGAGCCGAGCTTTCACATAAATATCAGTTTGATAAATGCACCGGGCGGCGCGTTATGGACGGAGAATATTGGAATGGAATCGCGATGCCGATTGTAGGCGTTGCGTCTCGGTTGAGATTAAATGCAATCCCAATCAGGACGATTCACAAACACTTCCGTGTCAGCGGAATGGATTCGTTTAAACGACCGACTTTCCTTTAATTGTCTTCTCTCTCTCTCTCTCTCTCCCGATCGAATTGGGTTAGGCGAAATTTTTATCTATCTCGATGCTTCAAATATTTATTTCGACTTAACTCGCGTATTAAATTCTGCTCTATTGAACGTTTGAAACATAATTTTCCTTTGCATTTTCGATATTCCTTTTTGGATACATAATAATGGAAATCCGGTTACAAATTACGAGGATTAATTTTTTTTTCCCCTCCCTCTCTAATAAATATCGCTACGTTTTACGATTACGCAAGATATCAGGATTATACGTTGCTCAAATAACCAATAATTTTCAACTTCAAATGAAGCGAAGCCTATCCGAATGATTGAAGACGTTTTCGTTCGAAGGCTCGGCATTAAAGCGCATAAATTTTAGACGAAATGCCACAGAGCGGCTCGAAGAGATCCCTTTCCATCCGTTCGAA